AGCGGGGGCCCTGGGCACAGAATCAGAGACGCCCCATCCCCCGGCCTACAATTAAAGGGGGGACCCTGGGCACAGAATCAGCTCATCGGGCAACATTTTCCATGGGGGGCAAGAGAGAGGCTCTTTTAATGAGTCTCGCTAATCAGCTTCTCAAATGCCTAATTCAGGGGCCCTACCAGCTGGGAATTTGAATGTAGAGTCCAGGCTCTGGCAGCTGGGCACAGGCCTTGGGTTACTGCCTAGGGCTCTCCGAGCTGGGGTATGAACTAGTGGGTTATGGTGGGGTCCTCTCCATGGGGCTGGGGTTGTTAATTTGTCTTAGGTGCGCTGGGTGCCAGGCGCTGCAAGAGACCGTCCCTGCCCCGAAGAGCAGACAGTCTAGAGACAAAGGGTGGGAGGGGAAACAGAGGCCCAGAGCGGGGGAGGGAGTGCCCAAGGGCCGAGCCAGGACTAGCAACCCAGCTCTCGGGGGTGCCAGGCCAGTGCCTAGGGCATTCTGTCCCCATCCCCCGTGGTAGAGCCTTTCCTCTCGTTAGTAGCACGCTGACTGAGCCCTTTGCATCCCGGCCCCCAGGTGAGTCTCTCAGCGGGAATGCTGCTCTTGCTGATTGGAGCCGCAGCATTGGCCACAGGGTACCTGGTGCCCCCGAAGCTGGAGGGCATCGGCGAGGAAGAGTTTATGGTGCTTGACCTGCAGGCGATGGCCTATAACCATGCCCTGGTGACCTGCAGACTGGTGGGCACTGTCCTGTGCGCCTTGGCCGGGGCCCTGGGGGCGGCGGGCGTCCTGGCGTGCGTGCTGGGCAGGGCTGCGCGAGGGGGCGAGGAAGAGGAGGAGCAGCAGCTATCGCCCATTCTGCGGGAGAGCCCCCTGAAGAAGCACAGCACCATCATCATGCCGCCGGCAGCAGCAGGATCACCGGCTGTGCCCTTCGGCGCTTCGCAGATACAAAACATACAGCCAAAGAGGGACACCCAGCTCCCCCTCCTGCCCCCCTCCACCACCGCACCCGCTCCCTGAAGCTAAGAGCTCTTCTGTCTCCCCCGCGTTACTGCCACACCCGATTAACAGCCCCACTGCCCCTGGCTCTAAGGAGCCCCGACGTGTCACCATTCAGAGCTAGCAGGAGGAAGGTGTGTGCAGCCCCTGGACCCCTTCCCGCTGCTTCATCTGCAGAACCTGGGGAGGAGTGTGGCCTGGCCCCCATGTGAGAAGATCTGAGAACTGCTGGAGGTGTCTTCTGGCCAGGCCACCTGGCTCAAACCAGAACAGAAATGCCCCTGACTCAGCCTGTAAGCCAAGAGGATCATTTCATGCCACATCATCTGGAGGCGGGGCTACAACTGCAACCTATCAGCAAGAAGGAAACTGCGTTCGGAGGTAGAGGTGGAGTGCGATTGGCCATCGCCTAATGGACAAAGTCCCAACTTTTCTGTGGTCCACCTTCCTCTGCCCTGCTTCCCGGTCAGCTGTAACCGATGAAAGTGTCTGAGTACCGGTCCAGCAATGTCCTCCTTCCATGCTGGTTCAATAAAGATACAAAGAAACTCAGGTTCATCATCAGTCATTTCCGGCATGACTTTGTTGCAATCCCATGAGCCCTGGGTTTCACACGACAGCACCCTTCACCTTCCACCCACTCCCACAACTTAATTCAATTCTATGCTTAATCAGATCACAAAATCATTTGACACAGCTTCCACCCTTTAGACACTTGAAAGGGGTTATTGGCTAATCTGATCAATGGTTACAGAGGTCAAATGCCATTCAATTACTGTTTAGAATATGTTTTTAATGAAAGGCAGATGCAGAATAAGGTTCTGTTAATTGCTAGGGAGGAGAATGAAACATGCAGAAGGTGGAAGAGCCCAAGGAAAACCCCACAACACTCCTGCGGGACTCCAGCACAAGTCCAAGCAGGGCTAGTTAGACTTTGGCCACATTCTTTTCTCAGATATGGTGAGGCCACTCTACTGATGTCAGCAGTTTTGCACTGGTACAACTGGGAGTGGAATTTAGCCCTTTGTAAGTAGCACCCATGACTTGGGCCTTGATATTCCTCTTACCTTCAATGTGCATCACCTGTTCTGTACCCTGAGGGTTGGGTTTTTGAGACAGGAAATTCCTCTAAATCAACCCACTTTCAGGAACAGTTTCAGTTTTGACAAATGGTAAAAATGTTTCCTTGAAAAATTCTTGACCAGCTCTACCCAGGAGTTGAAAAAGCATGATTCAGAGCCCCCAAGATGGGGAGAACGGCTTAAATCGTGGGATTTTAAAAATAAAAAAGTTGTAGCCCACGAAAGCTTATGCTCTAATAAATTTGTTAGTCTCTAAGGTGCCACAAGTACTCCTGTTCTTTTTGCGGATACAGACTAACACGGCTGCTACTCTGAAACCTAAAAAAGTTGTGTTCTTTTTATTTGCTTACTGGTTTCGGAGCCTTTAGGGGTCAGGTTTGCATGCTTTTCTCTGCAACGGTGGAATATAAATGTTTTTTTTTCTTCAAGTGAAAGCTGAGAGGTTCATATAATCACATGACTCCAGGAGCTGGGGATTGAAAGAAAAGACCAAATATCGTGAGACTCGCAATCAAATCATGAGAGTTGGCAGCAAGGTTAATTCAAGATATTTGTTAGGAGACTCCATCCCGTCCAGGTGGAAATGGACAATGACTTGACCTCAATGATTCAAGCCTTCGCCACCTCACAGCTGGACTACCGCAAAGTAATGTACCTGGGCATGAAGTATTTAGGAAAGTATTGATTTAGTATTGATTTTGCAGGGCCATGGGGCAGTTCAGACCCGTAGCCCATTCATCCAACTCCCCACCCTCATCGGGGACTTCTGGGTAAATGGGCCAGGTTCAGCCCATCCACCAGGGATAAGCTCAGAGGCTGAGTTCAGTCCAATTGACAAGAACAGACTCGATCCGAAGGCCCCATTCAGCACTTCCTGGATTGGGGCCGGCTTTTAGGATGTTCCCGTGGAAGCCGCCAGTGCCCCAGTCAGAGAGATGAGGGGAATCCATGGCCCGGGGCACGTGACACACACCAGGGGAGGGTGTGAGCAGGCAGGGAGCCCAGGGGCAGGGAGCCCTGGAGGATTATGTGAGCACTCCCTGGTGAGCACAGCCCGCGCTGGGCACAGCCGCCCATGCCATGTCCGGCCCTGGAGGCGTTCCTCCCCATTCTGCCCCCCCTACCCCAGACTGCCCAGCCCCATGTGCCGCTCTTCCCCTGCATGTTCCCAGGCCTCCCCCGAGCAGAGGCAGGAATCCGGGCAGCTCCTTTTCCGCACGTCACCGCCTGGTGGAGCTGTGTGCTCAGAGCTCGGGGCTGGAGGAATGGCAGTGCCAGGGCTCACTGACAGCAGGCTCCTGAGGACACAGAGCCTGCGAGCAGCTTTCCAGGGAGCAGCAGAGATCACCTCTGCCCAGTGCACCGAGCCCTGAGCTCTGGGAGTGCCTCACGCCTGCCCAGCTGGGCCCATTACCTGCCCAGTTCTCGCTACCACGCTGGAGCAGGGGCTGTCTCCACGCAGACCCCAGGGAGCAGCAAATCCCTCGCAGCTCAGGCTTCCCTGGCTCCCTGACCAGGGAGAAACATCCCGCTTCTGCTCCTTATCCCTTGTTCCCTGACCAGTCGGCTCAGCTCAGGCGCAGTATCTCTGTGACATGGGACCTGACCTCCCGGGGCAATGGATTCAGTCCTGACTGCTGTGCTGCCCGACCTGGATCCCTCCACCTCCAACCGCCCCCGGCACCCCCCCCTCTGATAGCGTCACTTTAATGCAGGTGGGTTTTATTCATTGCTCGGGAGTAAATATGGACACCTGGGGCAACCCTTTGCCTCCTGCCCTGTTTGCCAGCCCTCGCAGTCCCTCCCCTCGGTCCCCAGGTAAGTACTTTGTACCATGCTAATGACTTGCTTCCACACCCCTTCCATCCACAAGGATCCCATGGAGTGGGGCAGCTTCAAGGATGCTTACAACCTGGCTGGTGCTCATTGAGTCTCCACAGAGCCTACAGGGACCACTTCCAGCAACCTGCACACATGGGGCCCAGTCTTCACTGGGGGCAGGATCAGGGCCCCGCATCCCATTTTTGCAAAACTCTGCATCCCACAGAGGCCATGCGATGCCCCGTAAGATCTGGGTCAAGCTCTCCGGAGAGGGTCCCTGCAGCATGCAATGAATCGTGGCTTCTGCAAACAGCGGTGGGAGATGCTAGGAAAGTGGGGAGAACGGGCCTGCTGAGGGGGAGGGGGAAGGGGAAGGGAGCCTGCCCAGAGGTCGGGAGGGACTGCTAATCTCAGATTTCCTGCCTTCAGCTCCCTTCCCTTGAGCCTCGCCCCCAGGGTGCAGACAGGGTTGGCGAGCCCCCGGGCGAGAAAGTGACAGGCCTAGTCCCTGAGTGACTGAATGAGGGAGGAAACAAAAAAGTGAATGAAGAAGGAAGTGAGAGAGGGAGGGGTGTGAGGGCGAGTGGAAGGTGACTTCCAGGGCATGGGAAAGAATGAATGAAGCAGCAAGTAACTGGAGGAGTGAGTGAAATAGGGAAGGAAAGAAGAAACAGAGGTGACGTGGGGGCCAGGACAGACGCAGGGTCACGTGCCCTCCCCCTCCGCCCCTGATTTCTGCCAGGGTTTCTATGTCCTGCCCTGAACCCTGCTGCATTCCACCAGAATCTTTAAATTGTGCCCCCCCCCCCCCCCGCCCCCGTCGTTTCTGGAAGAGAAAGAGCAGGGGAGGAGAAATCCAGAGCAAGGGCCATCCCCAAGCAGGCTGGGGTTCCTCAGAGCTTCCCCTGGCATGTGCCAGCACTGTACACGGGCACACAGCCCAGACAGGGCCCTCAGGAGAATGGGTGAGGGAGGCAGGCAGCTCCCGGGAAGGGGGGAAGGAGGGTGAGGCAGCAGCGGTGACTGGCCATTCCCCTCCAGGGTCTGGCTCCCTCGGTGCAGACAGGACGTCCTGTGGCTCAGCCTGGATCGGGGGGGAGACCCGGAGAGCGGCCTGCGGAAGGAAGCTGAGCATTTCCTCCTGCACACGCAGCAGTGGGCAGTGGGGGAGGGACGGGAACCAGCACTTACGGCCCCCAGGGCTGCACAGCCCTGACAGCGGCTCTTCCAAAGGGCTTTCTGCCCCGGCACCCCCCAATCCGTTACCCAGGGAGGAGCCAAAGAGGGCCCAATGCCGCTGCAGCTCAGATCCTGCACCAGCTCTCTCCGGGCTGCTTCCACAGCATGCAACAAACGTGGTCACATCAACCCAGTCCCTCCGCTCCTCCACAGCCAGCTCCCAGGCCCCATTCCCTACTGTGACCCCCATGGGAGTGGGGGGGATGCATGCGGCTCTGTGCTCCCAAATACAGCCATTGCTCCTTCATCATTGCAGACAGGCCAATGGTGGGAGAGGCTAGGTATGGAGCAGAGGTGAGATCCCCCCCCCCACACACACACACACCCACACCCTGTGCAGTGATGCCCGCTGGGAGGAGATGCAGCTGGGAGAGCCTGTGTAGCCAGTGCTCCTGCCCCATGCCCTGCAGTGCCACCCGCTGGGAGAGGCTGGCAATGCGGGAAGGTGCAACTCTCCCCTCCTCTCCGCTCCCCAAGGAGCAGGAATTCCCAGCCATTCCCTTGAGCACACTTCTGGTTCCGCAGCGCTACGCCATCCCGGCCGTGTGCACGCTGCTCCCGGCGAGGCGCGCTGCCTTGGGCGCCGGGGCTCGCCACGGGGCTTCTGGAGCGTGCAGACGCAGAGCTTGGCCTGAGATGAATGGGAAAGATAAAAAGAGCTGCTGACCGAGAAGGCTGAGTCAGCCAGCAGCTCCCAGCAGCCGGGGTCATGGCAACAGCTGCACGAGCGGAAGCCGGGCATTAGCCCTGACCCTGACCTAGGCTTGACTGCGCCTCCTGCCACCCTCAATGACAAAACTGCCAAGCTGGGCGCCCATAAGAGAGCGAAACCGACTGGGCCCCCCTTTCCCACCACCCTGCCATGTGCTGTCAAAGGCC